AATGGTTCAGTTATACAAAACACTTATATAATTACATCAATCTGTTATTATCACAAGTCATACTTATCAATTACTTAAAATATCGATAAATGTTGATAATAGAATATTGTAGGACACTTTTGGCAGATTATCCTTTTTTCATACCAATATTTATGTATTATAAAACAAATAAATGTTTATTGTATGCAGGAAGAACAAAAGGTGTTGAATTGAGTTATAGAGGAAATACAGTTAAAAATATAACAAGTCATTTCTCAAAATATAGTAAATCTAATTGCCCGTCCATACATTTGTATTTGTATATACCGTTATCTCGGAGTATTATAAAAACATAGAAAGCAATATAATATAGGAAAAACGGTACTCCATAAAACTTTTTTTTTTCCTTGGTCAAAAAGGCTACACATAAATCTAAGTTTAAAATACAGTTGTATCTTATATAATATAATTCTTGTTTCATTTTTATACAAAATCGAATCATCTCTTAAAATGTCTTAAATAAAAAAAAAAAAGAAAAAAGTAGAAGTTTGAATAATCTTTTAGAAATTTCTAAATAAAAAAATACATTGCACTGATTTATAGTATACAATTTGCGTTTTTTATGGCCGAGCAATTCATGGCGTCACTAAATTATAAATCTAAGTCTCTTATTTACATTCTATACGTCATTCACAATTAGTCTTGCAAGCCATTCTGGGTGCTTTTCAATTGCTTAACACATTTTGACACTAACTGTTAGAAACACCTTTACATGTAATGTATGAAGCTCGTGATTATGAACGAAATTAAAAGTCTAATGAATAATTTAACCGAAAAAATTAAGTTACAGTAATTACTTAGATGTAATGAACGTGTACATTAAATTTCATAAATTTTCATGAAAAATTTAATGTAATGTCAGGAAATTAAGTTAAAATTGTGTAACTTAAAATTTAATGAACTTTAAGAACATTTCTAACAGTGTACAGTAATATCAAGACAATGATAAAGATAATTGGAATATCTCAGAAAAGAAAGTAAAAACGACAAATGATAGTGAAAATAATACCGAATACACTGTCCGACGGCATGACACCGAAGGCAACAACAGTAAGAACTCGGATACTTAAAAAAGTTGAACAAAAACGAACAGTATTTGATAGATTTGTACACAAAGTGTACAAATCGATTAGAACAAAATGTGTAGTTTCAGTCCGTTTCAGATAAAATTAGATTAAATTTACCTTTTACTGCCTTTATTAAATAAAAAAAAAGCAAAAATGCCAATTACCCAATGTCTTCCAACCTTATTTATAATCGCAAAAGCCAATATCTGTCAAAAGAAAATTGGCATCAGAAGAAGTATATCAATAACAATGATGAAGATAAGCTGCCGCGGTTAATAACATGTAACGGTTACTAGAAAACACAAGTTTACACAACCGCTAGTAGCCCTCGGGCTGAATACGGATGTTGTATTGACGATTACATCAATTAGAACGATTACATCAATTAACTTGTGTCATCATATGCACGAAAGTGTCTAGTGATTTTACAATTGGAAAACACCCTCTAGATATACCCATTCGTAATAAAAAGAAAGTCCAATCAATCACTTGATTAGCATTAATCAATATTAATGCAGTTGGTTCAGAAAATTCTAACTTTATACAAATAACAGTTCGATTGCAAACCATTGCTTGTTCGCGATTGATAGGGGAGATCAAGCCAAACTTAAATGCCCAAGCGACTGAAAACATCTGCCCTTTTGACATGCGTCACTGTTGCCACTTTACTGAAAGTCACTTGTTTGGCAGTAGTTGTGCCCAAGCGTGCTTTGGCTGGTATTGAGACAAGTCGTTCTGAAGCTGCAATAATAAAATCAAGAAAAACCATTCCCTTTTACACAATTACTTATATACTAATAAAATTTATATAACATATACAAACCTAACTTGCCAGATGTAACTGTAGATATTTTTTTTGAAATACCTTCAATGCTAGATTTAACATTGGATACTTCCTTTTTCAGTTTCAGTATACGACTTGTATTATTCAAAGTAATCTTCTTGTTAACTTCATGATCGGCATGCATAGTGCCAGTAATTTTAGGCACGACTCTCTTTGTCGTTATAATTGACGTGCGTACGCTAGGTGATGTTCGGTTTTTCAATATGCCTGGCGTACTGATAATGCTTGACCCATTCTTAAGTATTCCTGCGGTAATTATCTGATCCTTCTTATCATCTATCTCACCGAGACGCTTAAAAACACTAGTAGATCTCTTAAATACTTCTTTACTAACTCCAGTAATATTGAAAGTAGGCGTCGTGTCAACTAAATTAGTTGTGCTCGTGACCGAGCTATCGCCTAATCTATCAAATACTGTTCGTTTTTGTTCAACAGGTTTTTTAAGTATCTGAGTTCTTACTGTTGTTGCCTTCGGTGTCGCGACAGTGTATTCGGTATTATCTTCACTACCATTTGTCGTTTTTACTTTCTTTTCTGAGATATTCCAATTATCTTCATCATTGTCTTGATACACTTCTTCTGATGCCAATTTTCTTTTGACAGATATCGGCTTTTGATTAACAGCATTAGTAGTAACTGGGACAGAAATTGGCTTCCTTAAAGTCAAAATCTTTTTTGTTGCAGATAAAGATTTAACTATCTTCTTTGTAGAGTCTGTTTTAGATGCTGGTAAAACTATAATCTTATTTCCAATTTCCTTGCTTCCTTTTTTCATAATAGGTTTTGATACAGAAACCTTTGGAGTTGGAAGTGTGTCTTCCGAATCAACTAAAAATCTCTCGCAGGTTGTTTCTTCCACTACTTTCTTAGCATATCTCAAAATAGCAATCATATCGCCCATTAATGTGATGCCCATTTCTTTGAGACTAGGTTTATCCAAATCCGGCAACATATCTGGTTTGATACGATTATTTGAGAACACAACTGCATGCTTAGTGGCCACATCTTGAGAAAATCCAGCCCCTTTAAAGAACTTTACCCAATAAGCTATAAAAAATTGATATGCAATTATATGTTAAAGAAGTAAAAGGAAAAATAAAATCTGTAAAAGTTATTATAAGTACTCAAATTTATAAACAAAATGTGTCATAAATATAACTTTTAAATTACAAGATCATTTAGTATGAATAGAAGATGGCATTATTTACTGTTTACACGTTTTTCATCCCGTTATAAATTAATAATTTTAAAATTATTAATTTTAAAATTGCAAATTTGAAAGATCGTTATAAAATACATTCACAACTCACCTGACAAAGATGCAGCCATTTTAACAGTTGAAGTACGAGATAAATTTTGTCTTTTTGGCAATAATTAATTAAGTCGAGAAACCGGACTCTTTTTCTTCAAGAATATATCTCTACCCACTTTTTGTACATTTTGCAAAGAGCCGCCACAATTAAGTTCCAAGTTGCAATCGTACGAAATTACAGTCAGATCAAAAGAACAGATGCACGAAAAATTTTGATTAACGATCTCTAATTATTCCAATTCTAAACCGTTTCTGGTTCTATTTTATACAATGTCGAGAGAAATTATTAATAAACACAAGAATTTCTCTGGGGCTCCACTATGCCTATATATGTATACACTGATACACGTTTTGTGTACATATGTACACAATACGAATTCAAGTCACACACACACAAATGTATACGTGAATGACATATATCAAGCGATACACAAGATGAGAACAGAGAAGGGCATTCAGAATCCTTGATTGCAAAACATGATAGGATAGGAAGCGATGAAGTAACCAATCACCTCCCGACCATTAAGCGGGAAGCACAGATTCTTGCATAATGCATAGCATGTAATGCATAAGAAAATATACCAATTAAAGTCCTTTGTTTCCTTTCTTTCCATAAAATAAAGAATTCTGATTGGTTGGTTTTCTTATGTCTTATGTGTTATGCGTAAAGCCCATATCAGACTACCGAGTCTGTAAGCCAACCCGATTGCCAACTCTGACTGCCGACCAATATTGGACCAATCATATTGAATCAATCTTATTGTGATTAGTCCATTATTGGTCGGCCAGAGTTGGCAATCGGATTGGCTTTCACATGCAGCGCAACTTGCGTAAGCGTAAGTCAATCAAATGAGATCACTGAGATGCTTACGCTTTATTATGCATTTTATGTGTGAAAAAACTCTTCAAGCGGTGTGGGGAAGGAGATCACAAACCACAGATTTCTATATACTATTAGACATACTATTAGATATACTATTAGACTGCTAACTTGTTTGAAAAAGTGGTTCCCAATTTTGATGTAACGTTATATGCATGCGTCGAGAATCGCTCCACGTGACGTATATCTGCACATGCGCATACATCAGCACACTATTTTGACAGGTTAATCTAATTTAATAGTATCAAAACCACTAAATACTTATTTTTATAATTCAGCTATTATAAATTATTTTAATTTATAGGAAACTGAATAAGATCGCATCTTTTATACACGTTTATTAATATTCAATTGTCTTTCCAATATCTTTACCTTTTTATTTAAACTCTTTCTCTTCCAAAAGAAACAATATTTTTTGCTATAAGATTACACCACTTTTATAAGATTATACATTTAATATGTGAATGTGATATAAAACAACCATACTGTATTCCTTTAGTATATTCGTGACGTATGCGCATAACTATCACACAATTTCGAGATCCACATAACTATTTCACTAGTCCTAGAAGTTTTTTCCTAGAAGTTATTTCACTAGTCTAGAAGTTAGCAGTCTAGTAGTATATATAGAAGTCTGTAGCATAATCTCTTATATAAGAGCGACCAATCACAACTGTGTCCCGGCTGTCCCGTCTGTCCCGTCTGTCCCGTCTGTCCCGTCTGTCCCGTCTGTCCCGTCCCTGAGCAAGATCCCTCCATTTGTGAGCCTCGCACCCCATTTCGTTAAGGTCCATTCTAATATTATCTTTCCGCGCCATGTATTCGCACCTTAATGTTTGCGAGCGTGTGGATGTTAAGTGGAACGCATCCTAGAGATCCTAGGAGTGCTTTCTAGCAAGGACATAGTCAGAAACTGTGTAACACAATGAATCATTTTATTCTTGTTTAACGTAGGCAAACAACAAGGATGTAATGATTCACTGTGTTACATTGTGTCTGCTGCGTCCTTGCTGGAAAGCACCCTACCTCAAGGGATGTGTTCCGAGTTTCGCGTGAAGCGCATGATGCATCATTTGTCCTTGTTGTTCATCAAATAATGAAGAAGGATAAAACAATAAATCATGCGTTTCATGCGTAACTCGGAACCTTATGATTAAGCTGTAGGTAAAAAATTAGAGGTTATGTTTAATATATGATTAAATAAATGTTCCGTATAATAATTAAGTAGATATTAAGTGATACAAGTAAAAATGAGTATTCTAAATGAAGTAAAAGTACGTAAAAAACTCGAATGTGTTGACTTGCAAACCAAGTTATGGGCTTTACAGGAAGTGAGCCAAGGTACTCCAGTGAATGTTGTTGCCGAAAAAATTAATGTTCATAAAACAACAATAAAATATTGGATAAAAAGTAAAGATTCTTTCCGAAAATGGCAGAAAATTAACAATGACGAAGGAAAAGGCAAAAAAAGAATTAAAAGTCCAATCCATACTTCAATCGACAAAGCTACATGGTTATGGTTCCAAGAACGCAGTGCTACAGATTTTCCAATATGTGGTCCAACAGTAAAAATGCAGGCAATGAAATTTTGGAAAATGTTTGGCGGTGAAGGTACTTTTAAAGCAAGCAATGGATGGCTTGATAAGTGGAAAATACGCCACAAAATTAGAACTGATTTTACTACCGGTATGTCTTCTTTAGATAGTGAAGGTGCTGAAAAGTATAAGACAACTTTTTTAGATATAATAAAAAATGAAGATTTGTCACCACATCAAGTCTTTAATTGCGATGCAACTGGGTTGAATTATAAACAAATTCCGAAAAAAACATATAGTGGTAACAATGAGTCCGAATCAACAGGATTTAAAATAAAAAAAAAACGAGTAACTATCATGATTTGTAGTAATGCAAGTGGCACATTAAAATTACCGTTAGTATTAATAGGGAAAAATACCAAACTATACGGTTTTAAAAGCTTAACTGTTCGGCCGGTAGTGTATAAAAGCCAAAAAAATACTTGGATGACAGCACTGTTGTTTGAGGAATGGTTTAAGGAGCAATTTGTGCCACAAGTACAAAGTTTTTTGAAGAACATGGAATTATCACCCAAGGCAGTATTATTCATGGACAATCGTGATGGGCATTTAGAAAATTTATCGCATGATGAAATTAGGGTTGAATTTTTTCCCCCTAATATATCACTTTTAATACAACCCATGGATATAGGAGTTCTTCAAAATCTCAAAACTTTATATCGAACTAATGTAATGTCTTTTTTTATCGATCAGTTCAATATTGGAACTAATCTACCAATAGCTATGAAGAAACTTAGCATTAGAAATGTCATTTTTTGGATTACTACAGCTTGGAATAAAGTCAATAAATCTATAATATCAGAATCATGGAAGGCAGTAAGTAAAAAAATGTTTCAATTTTTTAACTAATGCATACTTCTTATTTACATTTAATAACTAATGCTTACTTTCTGTTACTTTCAGTTATGGCCAGACATTTTACAAGTTCTTGCACCTAATGATGACATTGAAATTATTGATGATATTTGTCATGAATTGAGAGGTTATGAAGATCTCACTGTTCATTTTCATAATTTTTTAAAAGATCAACTTGGCGCAACCGTAGAATTAATTACTGTTCAAGACTGGCTGAACTCCCATAGAGTTATGAGTGAAGATGAATGTTTGACTGATTCACAAATAGTGCAAATAATAAATGAAGAAGAAGAAGCAATAGAAGAAGAAAAAAAAGGAGTACAGCGAAGAATAAAAGCAGTACTACAGAGTAAAGACACAAGAAGAAGACTACAGAATAAAGACGATACAATAGAAGAAGGAGAAAAAAAGAGAAGTAAGAAAAGAAGGAAAACAAAATCAGGAAAAGGAGGAGCAGACCCAGAAGAAGTAAGTTTTTTTTATAAGTAACAATAATCTAGATAGATTCATTATTCTTTTAATTATTTTCAGTTATGTGAAATGCTTGAAGATTCCATTCAAAAAGTGCAAATGTATTTGGATACAGTGATTAGACATTGCAACGGAAATTCCCACTACACTCAACAAAATTTAATTAATTTATATGAGATTAAAAATATTTTAAGGAATGAAAGCCAAGGATTTTAAAAGCCAAAGATAAAATTAATTTTTAATTTTATATAGAATTATAGGGTTTAAAGATTCTATTTTAAACTATTTATGCTTTTTAAATCATTTAGTCTATAGATAGTATAATTCAAGATGGTTGTGATATTACAAATCAAAATCGATAATTTATTTTTTTTTGTATTAAAAAAATTTTAATTTCAAATTATGTATTTATTATTATCATATTGAGTGAATATTCCCTGACTAAATATTCTTTGCATAATCTATAATTTTATTGCATTCAATTATTTAATTTTTTTTTACATAATATATTTAATATTTTTTATTAAATTTATAAATTATACTTATGAACTTTTATTCACTTTAATGTAATAAATTAATAAATAATATTTCGTACATTCATTTTTAATTGTATTTCTATAATTTTTTCTCATTTATTTTTCTATTTTAATTTTAATTCAAATTATTTTTTATTTGATTATTTTTCCTACTATAGTAAATGTCATTACAAATTTTTTTTGTTATGGCTTCAGCAGCGTCAAAGCTCTATATATTCAACCTCTCACGGGAATAGAGGAAAGATCCCTAGTACGAGATACCAAATTCATTTTGCATAAATGCTAGAAGTCTATAGGCAGAATTTAAAAAAATAATAGGTTATTTTGAAGGGAATTTAATAAGCTTTAAGATACCATTACATAAAAATTTAATTCAAATTTTTTTTTTTTTTTTGAAAATTAAAGAATGTGAAGTGAGCAAATCGCAAAGTCAAAAACTTGTGCTGCTAATATGAGATGCCTCAAAAAATCGATAGTAAAACGCAAAATATATCAGTATTGCAATTAAAAAACTTTATTTAATGTTTCTAAAATACAAACAGCTAGCGTGCGCGAAAAATGAGCATGAGATAGATTACGTCCTCGTTTTTAGGTAGTTGGAATCAAGTGCAGATATAAGCACTTGACATTATTCCGGTTGTCTTTTTTATTATTATACAATAACATTTATACTTTAGCAACGATTTTCATTGTAATATAGGAGTATCGATTATTTCATATTAGGAATACCTTAGGTATCTCATATTACGATTTCCACGCCTTATAGTTTTACGATCATCAAATCTAACTTCTGTAATTAAATAATTCAACATATCCCACATTTTTATTAGTACAACCTCACTACATAAAGAATGTATTGCCAAATATTTATTTATTAAATAATAAACAAGGTTTAAATGCTCATCTCAATGAAACTTGAAGACTTCAAATTTTTAAATTTTGTTTTACAATGACTATAGACATGATCTAATAATGAATTTTCTACTAGTTTTCAATCCAAGAGCAACAAGTTCATGACGGAACTAATATATAGCTTTATTAATTTAGCAGAAACGTCACTATCTCATATTAAGACACCTATTTCATATTAGGCGGCTTTCCTTTACTGGTTACTCCTTCCTTTACTGATTACGTATGTGTACGGCTAGAAACTCTTAAGGGAGAGTCTGGCAAAGTAATATTCAAGTTTCGATGTGTGAATTCAACTGTTAAACGACCAAATTTTTATCCTTATTTAATGTTCGGTAAATAACATGGGTGAAATGACTAGTTTGCCATGGTGAACGTTTGCCAGACTTTTGGCCGTAGCACAGACTCTCACGCATAATGCATAATACATAGTGCATAAGAGAATCAACCAATCGAAATTCTTCTTTTCTATGAAATGGGAGGAAAGGGGAGATTCTGATTAGTTGATTCGCTTATGCATTATGCGTTATGCAAAAGTCTGTGCTGCGGTCTTTTCCCTTGAGGATCTCTATATACGGTTAATGCCTAAAGCCCGATGTTCACGAT